ACACACACACACACACACACACACACACACGTAACATTCATACTTTAATATGTAATGTCACATTTCAACCAAGTGAAAATCCTTCCATCCATTTATCTTAATTTTTTTGTATACACACACACAAATACACAATTTCAACAAAACAATATGTGCCCCTATATTTGTAGCCATGACCTTGTCTGGAGTTTGGGGCCATTTTTGTACAGAATAAGTTAACATCAATAAAGCTTTCTTTTGAAGATGTGCACACAGCACAACAGTCAATAATAGTCCTTCTTCACAATGGCCCATTTTTTTTGTTTTTTAGCTCTGAGACTGTCTAGCTTTGGTAACTGATAAGTGTGTAGCCACTTGAGCCTTGACTGCCAACTGCTGAGCCTGTCAGCAGCATCAATTCAACCTGCTGTTTTATGAATAGCAGGCTTTGTTCCACTGGATTCCCATTTCCTTCATCGGAGAAAAGTAGGGGATGATCAATATTTTATGCAAGTAGGGACATCTTGAATTGAATGTCAAGTAAGAGAAATTGTAGAGAGAGAGGAAAAAAAGGTTTTGTCAAGAAAAGCTTTTTTGGCCATCAGGCTTAAATGTGTCTGGTGCTGCTTCAGTGTGATTTGGCAGATTTCTTAAAACTGTGTAGAGCACGGTTACTAATTTCAAATAGACTTTCTTCAGAATTTTTCCTTTGAAAAATAAAATGCAGCACTTTTTAGGTTAATTTATATAAGTATGGGATTATCACTTGGTTTATCAAAGTGATTTAGTCAGGGTTTGCTTAAAATGTCTCACATGCATCTTACGGTGGTGAGAGCAATCAGGAAAGAAACAGACAGGTAAATCCATAAAGGGAACATAAGGAGGAGAATGTGGAAACGGATGTGGAAAAACACAAACTGACAAAGGGAAGCACACAGACACAGGGGAGGAAGGGAAAATTGAACGCAGGTGATAGAATTTAGGAACAGGTGCAGATGAGCACAAGGTCAGGAAACAGGACAAAGGTAGGAAATAAAGCCAGAGACACACAAGGAGCGACATTTTCCAAATAAAACAGGACACAAATCCAAACAAAGGAAAACAAGGTACATTTCCACAAATTAGGTCTTTCATAGATTCTCAATACTTACTACTCCACATTTAAGAACTCAGAATCATGACAAATTTAAAAATAAGAAATCCAACCAGGTTACCAAACAGAAATAAATAAAAATGTCATCCACATGCATAAAGTTTCCAAAATTCAGTTTTCATCAGCTGTGGTTTGGGAATAACAGCGGATTGTTTAGTTACCACAGGGTCAGTGGAAGTGTCCTTAGGCAAGACACTGAACCCTTAGTTTTCCCTGATGAACGAAGTGTGATGGAAAAGAGCATAAAGAAATTGAATGTGAGAGTGAATGGGCAAATGTCTATTGTAAGGCACTGTACTTTCTGTTCATAAAGAGATAGTACAACATGGACACCAGCTTAAAGCAGTCTTCATAGGAGCACACTCATCAAGCTGAACAGTGAGGTTGTTAATACATATGAAATAATGTCAAATAGAAATCCTGACAAACACCTCCTCTCCAGATGAAGAATTCAGTTTATTGGTCTCCAATTTAACCTATTTTCCAAATACAGATCATTTATTTTCTCCCTACACCACATTTTAGAATTTGGGAAAGAGTCCTTGTTTTTCAAGGACTCAAGTATTCCTTCGTATATAGTACTACAGAATAATTTAGCTGAACAACTGTGGACACTGATGCATCTGTAGTGACTTGGGTGTCATTAGTCCCCACTCTTACAAATTGCACAATAGCCTATGAAGCGTCAAACCTACACCGTGGCCTATGCATAGACATGTACGCACAATGTAAGGGTGATTCCTCCCTTGCTTCAGTAATCCAATTATATAAAATGGTTGTACAGTACTTTTAATGCCAGAGAGAAAAGCTGGAAACGTCTTGCAGTGTCCAGCAGTGTTTTTTTTTTAGAGCTTCAATACTCAATAACTATCATATCAGTAATCCAAGCTGTGATGGTTCTTTGCAACAAACTGATACTTAGCGAAAATTTGACTTAGTCTGGTCTCACTTGTCTTGTGGGTTATACTGTAAAATGCTCGGAGTGGTCATCAAGACTAGAAAAGCACTCTGTAAATACAGACCATTTAGAATGTACCATATGACCCAGATGCTGGAGGTTTCTCACCACTGCTGTACATGTTATATAAAGTGTGTATTCATATTAGCGGGTCAGCGTGATGAATGTCAACATGAATTGAAAAAGGTTGAGGAATATGTGGAGAACGGGATATCAAGCATGACAACCATTGTGGAGGATGACTGTTGCTGAAAGAATCTTTTGACTCCAAAGTGTTTGGTACCCTGGTAGCCCATGGATTTAACAAGTTTACGAGTTGGAAAAAATACTTTTTACACAAATAAAAATATACAAAGGTAGTGACAGCAGAGGAGGAGGTTAAATGTTCAGAGAGTCAACCAAAAGAAAATTAAGGAAGATGAAGTTACTCATCGTTTTTTTTATCGTATTTTTAGTATGCTGAGTACAAACGTGGTAAGAGATGCAGTGCAATGAGTTATGCTGTAGTTGATGAAGGTTAAAGTTGCCAACGTGATGTTTGTACAAGAGATTCACAGGGACATTTTTAATGAACCAATGAGCCTGACTAGAAGACAGAGGGGTGCTCAGGGGGATATTTTAATTGTTCTGAAAATGATTTAATAGACAGAAATCACTGGGAACATCAGAGCGTCACAGAGTGCACTCACGATGAATGATGATATACTTGGGCCCATACTAGAGGGAAATTGTTATCCTTTCTAATAGGTTATTCGAATTTATATATTTTTTCACATTTTAACATCTTTAAAAAGTGCAAATAACTATGTTAAGTGTATTAAGTCTCAACTTAAAGCACTTAAAGTGTATATTGGCATTTTAACGTGTAATGCTAAGTGATGCTAAAGTGATGCTGATTTTAAGGTTGTCGTTGGATTGCTTTGGAAGAAATAAAGTTTGAATTATTTGAGACAGGTTGATGGTGGGAGTCTTGAGCAGAATAGGTAAAGCTGCTCTCTCAGTGTCACAGGAGTGCACATTACCACGTGAGGAGAATCTAGAGACATACATTTTGGACCTTCAGAGTTGAGCACACACCAGAAAATGATGAAAGTTGAAGCTCTCAAGTCTAAAAATATCTCCCTCCCTCCCTCCCTCTCTCTCTCTCTCTCTCCAACATTATCCTCGCATGTACACCATTCTACTGCATGTCACTGACTTCATATTTTTCTCTCTCATGTACTGTAGTTTGTGATTTCCTCTCTGTCCTCCCTGCCCTCATTCTGAAGGTATCTCTGACTCCAGAGCTGCAGGATAGAGATCTGACACTGCTACTCATTAATTATTGCAAAAACAATAATAGGTACCTCTATCACTGCTGTTGTTATTATCAATAACACCATTATACCCATTAGTATCAACCAAACTATATCTGGCTGATAGTTGCTCAGCGTGAGTCTTGTTCTGTCTTAAGGTTCCTTCTTGTAAATTGCACTGAATGTCACAGAGAGTGTGTTAACGTGTACATGCTTGTTAAGTAGAATACAAAGATTACGGGAAAAACAGAAAACATTTCACTACCCCCCCTATATGTGGTGATGGGACGATGACACCACCTGGTTGACATCTCAGCTGTGTGCATCACCAAACTTCCATATCCAACAACCCTAACAGTACTTTTATGGTTACAGTGTTGTTTTGTAGATGATGGTTTCTTACCAAAGTGGCCAGTCTTATTTTCTTGTTGAAACAGCGATGATGATGACAAGGACGGTGAGGATAATCGCTCCGGCCAGCAGGAGGTAGCACTTCCTCTTCCTCAACTGCCTCTGTAGAGAGAAAGGATTCGGTATGTGGGGGGAGCATTACATAGTTCCTCATTGGACATTTTACACTGTCGTCTTCAAATGTTAACCTATATCTGAAAAGACAAGAAAAGTGTTGGTGCTTTAATTTTTTGGTTAATGGGTTTCCATAAGATATTAAATCATATGTGTTGATTCTTCCAATCTCTGTTGGTGGTTCCTGTAAAAAAAAGGCAGTGATTTAAGTATCATTTAGTCCTCAGACAGATTAACTATTAAACGTTAAATCCCCACTTTTATATAACTGAAAGTCACTGGCATAATACATTGGCAGCCCTGTAAATGTCAAGCTACAATTTAATGACCATATAGCCACAGCAGCCATTATTCCCCACTAGTTGTTTTTGAAATAATTAAATAAAACCCAATAGTACATGTTTACATGCAGTCATAATTTCAACACCCAGAAACAGAACAAAAAATATATCTTGAAAGCTTTAACTGAAGGGCTCTGCCATCATGAACAAGATGGCTCTGCTGCATATTAACCTTGTTTGTGTGATGGAAACATTTGTTGAATTGGTGACTACTGAGGTACTGGGTAAAAGCACTAATTAATCCACTATATTTTAAAAGAAAATATTTTTTTATATTTTATTTTATGAAAAACTGTAAGTAAGCGAAATTACCTTGGGCTGCTTCATTCAATGGTTTGAAATCATCACAATTCAAACCAGTTTCCTTTTAAAAATGATGTCAATATAATTTGAAGCAATGGCGTCATTGCCAATGAATGACTTGTTATTGAGCGAGCATACATTTAACTGAGCAGTTATAATGGGAGGCAAGTGTACACTAATGGGTGTATTCAGAGGAGACCATTTAACATTAATTAAATTATTAGAATTTACTCCAGGCCAATTACATCTTCTGTAAACCATGTTATCAGGCTGGTTGGGGGGGGAAAGAAACTTAGTGTTAGACAGCCTGTTGATGCTATGGATGGGGGTAGCAGAAGTATGATCACTACACAAGGGGCAGAGGCGGTGGTGGTCGTGGGGTGTTAGTGTCAGCAGAGGGTGCATGGCTGTTTCTCTTGGGCAGAGAAGATAACGGAAAGCAAGAGCGGGTGTTGTGTTTGGAATGTAAACAGCTGAGAGTCTCAGCCACGGGAAAATGTACTTATGACTGAGTGTTTGAAATTGTGCAAAATACATTGTCTGTCTAAAAGCACCAAAGCCATTTTGGGGGGTGTTGTCATTGTTGGAGAAGGACGCGAAAGTACAAAACAGGTTAAAACTGCATCGGAAACTGAGCAGACCGATTGAAGGCAGACGTGGAGACTGAGAGTCGGTGGCTGTCTAGAATGGAACAATGGGACTTCAAATAAAACACTTTTGTGAGAATCTTTAAGACAATTTAAGAGATTGCTAAAATCAAGCTTTAAAAAAATCTGACCTCTGGCTAGGCATGTCTAGCATCGATGATTACATTGGGTGTAACAGACCAGGGCTCAACTGCAGAATGTCAGAAACTAGAAGGGATACAGATGGTGAGCAACCACCAGTGGAGGGAAATCCTGAAGATCAACACTATTTAATCCATTTTGCTAGAGATAAAGATCAAGTTGGGGAAGTACAGAAGGGAAAACTTGTACTTTAATGATTTAATGATGATAATCAATCAAATATGATATCTATAGACCTTTGTCATGCCAAATTGCAAAAGCTTTTGTTGAATTTTGTTGTCTGTGGATGCATGTTGAATTCCAATGCTTTACCATTAAAGAGGAAGTTGTTGTAACTCACATATTCAATGTCCAAACTGCTCCAAACTTTCTGAATAGCACTTTGCTCGTCTTGATGACCACTCAAAGTGTTTTTCACACATTTACACAATCACCCATCAGAGCCCTGGCCTCAAGACATCCACCAATATTGAGATATACTCACAGCGCCACCTGGTGGACACAGTAAATGATGCTTGTGTGCCAATCGTCTTACGCTTTACATCACATAATCATCTTCGGCTCTGCATCATAATCCATGTTTCACAGCTCTTCTCTAGGGCTACTTGGCCAGGAAGCTGCTTGTAACATGTTTCTTTGTTCTTGATTTAAGATTCCAACCACAGCATAAATATAAAATTAGAACAAATAATACAATTAGGTGATACATTAAAGCAAATTTAGTATTAATTTAGAGTCATTTTTTGGGGGTGCAATGTAGCTTTCTCTTTTTCTAAACACAGTACTCAAAATTGCTCTCAACCTTAGGATTCGTTCGAGAACTGTGTACAATAAAGCAGAATAACTGCATTATTTAGTAGTAGATTCAGAGAGAGTTTGTATGGTTTATGTGATGTATTTCACACGCTACACATTTATTTGCTTATTCGGTAATGCACATGATTTTTTTTTAAATATATTATTCATTTTATTCAATTTTTTATTCAGAACCTTTTTTAACTATAGCACTGATATACAGTGCGTAAAAGAAGTAAGCTATTTAGAAATATCTAAACTTTAACTTTACTAATATGTTGAACATGCACATATTATTTACTTATCACCTTTAATTATTGGATGCTTTTAACTTACAAGGTAAAAACAGTTTGAAACTTTGATCCTATAGTGCTGCATTCAAACATTTTGGACTGGTTTTCATTAGTTGTCACAACAATGAAATGTGTTTGGAAGGTGCCAGTTACAGAAGATGTAGGAAACTCAGACTGTCTTTACAGAGGATTGACACATGCAGTACATCAAAAATTGCTTGATCAGAAATAATAAAACAGCAAGACATGTAAAACATCACAATTTCAAAATGATTTCCACTGAATCAATTCTTTTTATTCTTCGTAATTATAAGTCTCAAATGGTTTTCATATCTATTTTCTGTTTTATTTCTAATATTGCCTGTGGTATAATTTAGATAAATGCTTCAAACATTCCTCCACACAGCACATGGGCTTTACTTATGTCAATTACTTCACGTTTTTTTCAGAAAGAGGAAAAACTGTGGACTGTGTAAAGAAGAAATATTAAAGTAAATAGAGTGAAGAGCATGGCTGAGGGAATATTTATATATTTCCTTGTCTCCTCAGGCGGTGACGATGTGTTGGAGCACAGAATCTATGTTGTTCTGAAATGCTTTTTCTCTCATTTTTTTCAGCCTGTTTTCTGCTACAAAGGCAGCGAGAGCAGCGGCGTTAGACCAGAGCCGAGGCTGGAGTCTTTAAATCCTGACGCGCTTCAAAGCACGGAGAGAGCAATTCATCTTCTTATCTGAGACTCAAAACAGGCTTTCTGTATGGAAGAGAGAGGGAGAGAGGAAGAGGGAGAAAAAATGCTGTCGAGTAATTTTCCGTTTAAACGTTCCACTCCACAACAATTTGCATAAGCAGCCCTGCGTCTGTGATAAGAAGATTGGTAATTTTCAAAGGCTCTGTGGGGATTGAGAATTAAAAGCCTTTCTCCGCTATCTCCCCTCTTGCAGCTGGCCACCACAGATTCCCCAGCTTCTCTCACGCATTTCCTCCTAAACTACGCCTTATAAACTTTCTCTGCCATCCTCTCCTTCTCTGTGCTCGCTCTGACAGTGCCGAGTCGCTCCCTCTCGCCATATACTGTATTCCCTCCCGCCCTCTCTCATCCATACCCTTCTTTCTCTATTCCTCCTGCTCGATCATCCCAGCACTGCTGTTATTTGGGGAGAACAGGGAAATAAATAAGGTAGAGGAGGGTGGGGGCAAAAAAGGGCTTAGTATAACAAAGGAAGTGTTGCAGTATTTTTAAACCAGAATTTTCCAGATTGCAGGGTAGGCTGAGAGGTGGGACAGAGAGTCGCAGAGGAAGAGGAGGATAGAAGGGATGCTCTCAGCACCGGTGACTTGATCTGTAAGAGCATTGTCCTTAGCACCAGTACTTCAGGGCCAAAAGGTGCTGGATGCTGTGAGAGAGAAGACAGCATCTCTTTCACTCTGATGTATTCACTTTCATTGTCTACTACGAGGGGAACAGTGTATAGCTATGATTAAGCTGATATAATCACTGGAATAAATGTACGTTTTTAAGAGAGCGACGTCCACACTGTTATGTCTGTTATAGCCATTGTCTTTAACAATGATGCTGATGGGAACTATTATATTTCATTAAGAATTTCATCAGTGTCAGTGTGTAAAATCCTCTGAATGACAACGATAAACTAACTCTTGTTAACACTAACTCCACTAAAACCCAACAATTGTTACCTGTATTTGTGCAAAAAAAATAATAAAATAGGGTATTCAGATATTGTAAATGTCAAGATATCACATGGTCATGTTTTAGGGCAATCACCTCAAGTGAAGATATTAAAGATATTCAGACAAACAAGACAAAATATACTCAGCCATTGAAGTAATCAAAGCTTATGACCATATAGGTGCAGGTGCTCCAGCTCCTCACAATGACAGACCAAGACAAAGGTATTCAATATAACATGCAGTTGCTGCATCAATCTCCATTTTTTCAATTACAAGGGAAACCTAGAGATACTTAAAATCCCTCCACAGGGGCAATAGTTCCCTTCCACCCTGTATGGAGTAATTCATCTTGTCTGACAGAAAATACTGGTTTCAGGTGGTAACTCTCATTCTGACCGTTTCACACTTGGCAGCCAACCAGAGTCAATGTATAGCACACAGGCTGACAAAGCTAGAAGAATCACTCAGTGGCAAAAAGCTGAGCTACAGGAATCAAAGATTCTCCAGTCCTTTTTGTCCTCTTAAAATACTGACCACTAAAATGACAAATAATAAAATGTGAGCCAGGGCAACCAGGGCAATGTCCAATAGAGTCAATGGTTCCATGATCAGGACATATTCTGCAGTGCATCAACTGAATCTAGATTAAGGTGCTAAATCTACAGCTACTTCAGTCAATTAGCCACTGATTAGCTTTTTGAATACAAAGACTTGCGTGCTAAAATAGGAAGTACACTCTCAAACATGACCTACTGTGTGGACAACATATGACAAAAACT